CAGCTGGCTCCGCAGGGGGCATCCCCAAGTGGGTGTGGGGGAGACCAGGGGAGGCCCCATCCTGGGGACCAAGGCTACCTTTGGCCGCCCCTCGCTCTAGAGCCAGAAAGGGCTGGAGCCAGACACACCCTTAGAGGGCCCCGGGGGCAGGTGGCTTCCTCTACCGGCTCTTGGAGGAGACCCAAGCCTCCCTTCCAGCCTCCCTCCCAGCCCAACCTCCCCTGTTTCACTGCAGCTCAGCCTTCTCTCTGGCTCCCTTTCTGCCTCTCCGTATGCCCAACTGCTCTGTCCCTCCCTCTTGCCTCAGAAAGTTCCAGAATCAGCTTTAGGCCTCTGGTCCTTCCAGCCACTTCCGACTCTCACTGTTACTCCAGCTCCTTTCTGTCCGTCTGCCTGTCTGTCCATCTCTCCGTCCAGGCAGGCTCCCTCGGGGTCGCCGTGTGCTGTGCGATGGCGGTCCCTCCTCTCACCCCCCAGGGGAGGTCGTGGTAAACATGGAGCCAGAGGTGCCTGTCCAGAAGCTGGAGACCATGGTGAAGCTGGACGCGGTAAGGCGCGTGGGGTCAGTCCTGCGCCTGCTGGGAATGTGTGACACTTCTCGCGAGCGGGGCCGCCTCCTTTGGCATGTCACGGTCGAGGGCCCACTCTGGCTACATGTGCAAGCTGTCCATCCAAACACTGTCCTGGAATGTAAGACTGTCGGTCCTGCGTGTGCATGCCTGAGTGTGCATGTGAACGTGCACACGTGCACGAGCGAGTGGTGTGCACGTACGAGAGACAGAGGGAGCAGTGACCGTTTGAGGTGATAGCCTGTAATTATTTTTACTCCAACAAGCCACACCACGTAGACACTAGGCTCCTTGTGTGAGCACCAGCGTTCTTTCCAGAAGGTCCCTGCGTTTCCATCCCAGCCTTTAAAGAGCAGCCCTGCCTAGGCCTGGGCTGGGGAAGGATTTCCAGGTGGAAGCTCCTTCTTCCTCTTGGTCTTGGGACTAGGGGACGTTTATCTGCCAGAGGGGGACCTGGCCTCTGGGGTTTAGATGCAGAGATGGCACCTGCAGGGGAGGGTGGGGAGGAGGCCGGCCTGAACCAGGCCATCCTGAGTCCAGACAGCACCAAGGGGCTGGATGTGGGCTTCTTCCCTACCACATTATCTCCATCCCATTCCTGACCTCACGTGCTCCACACAGCCTGGGGCTCCTCCTAGCTTCTGAGGTCTGAGCTTGGTCTGAAATGACCTTCCCTTGGCCCACAGTCCTTACTTAACCCCACAGAGTCCCCGCCGGCTGGCTGAGTTAGCACTGGGCATGGTTCTCAGGAAAGGGGAGCAGATACGGGCCAGGGCCTGGCCCACAGCACTGCCGGGAAAGCCCGCTGCTGGGGGGCTGGGCCTGGAGATCCCATGACCCCTTGGCTCCCTCCCCGGGGGCTCCTCCTGGGGCCGGGGGTGGGCCCTGTCATTTCAGAGCATCAGTGAACAAGACAGAGGACAGCACAGGCCCAAGCTTCGCCACCTTTCCCCAGGCCCTGGGCTCCGCTGGGGCGTTTTCACCAGGGCCCTCTTCAGCTACGCATTTGTGTGTGCCTCCGCTAAATTTTTAAAGCCCTTGCCCTAGTAAGGGGGGAGAGTAGGGTTGAAGTTGACCCTGTCCGGCCATCGTTACCGAACTCCCAGCACATGTGGGTCAGGCTCCCTGCCCAACCCTCAGTGCCCACCGAAACCATCTGGGGGGTTTACAACTGTGCAGGTGCCCAGCCCCCACATTTGGACTCAGTGGCAACGTGGCACTGATCGTTTGTAAAGCCCCCC